ACCAGGCCGTTAGATGGCAGTTTTATTTCCGCGGGTGAGGATATGTCGGTAGCAGTTTTAAGCCAGCGGGTGAGGGTATTTCGGTGGCAGTTCTAAGCCCGCGTATGAGGATATGTCGGTGGCAGTTTTAAGCCAGCGGGTGAGGATATTTCGGTGGCAGTCTCAAGCCAGCGGGTGACGATATTTCGGTGGCAGTTTTGAGCCAGCAGTTGAGGATATTTCGGTGTTTCAGCGGGTGAGGATATTTCGGTGGCAGTTTATTTCCGCGGGTGAGGATATTCCGGTAGCAGTTTAAGCCAGCCGGTGAGGATATTTCGGTGGCAGTTTTAAGCCAGCGGGTGAGGAAATTTCGGTGGCAGATTTATTTCCGCGGGTGAGGGTATTTTGGCGGCAGTTTTAAGAGCATATTTCGGTCGGTTCTAAGCCAGCGGGTGAGGATATTTCGGCGGCAGATTTAAGCCAGCGGGTGAGGATGTTTCGGTGGCAGTCTCAAGCCAGCGGGTGACGATATTTCGGTGGCAGTTTTATTTGGGCGGGTGAGGATATTTCGATGGCAGTTTTAAGCCAGCGGGTCAGGATATTTCGGTGGCAGTTTATTTCCGCGGGTGAGGATATTTCGGTGGCAGTTTTAAGCCAGCGGGTGAGGAAATTTCGGTGGCAGTTTTAAGCCAGCAGGTGAGGATATTTCGGTGGCAGTTTTATTTCCGCGGGTGAGGATATTCCGGAGGCAGTTTTAAGCCAGCGGGTGAGGATATTTCGGTGGCAGTTTTAAGCCGGCGGGTGAGGATATTTCGGTGGCAGTTTTATGTCAGCGGGTGAGGATATTTCGATGGCAGTTTTAAGCCAGTGGGTGAGGATATTTCGGTGACAGTTTTAAGCCAGCGGGTGAGGATATTGCAGTGGCAGTTTTAAGCCAGCGGGTGACCATCACCCGCTCGATAACACCTCGATAACACCCGATAACACGTCGATAACATGTTTTCGATATGTGTTCGAGATGTTATCGAGGTGCTATCGAGTGTGATCGAGCTCGATAACGCTCGAGAGCACCTCGATAATACTCGATGACACGTCGATAGCATGAGGTGTTATCGATGTGTTATCGAGTGTTATCGAGCGGTGGCAGTTTTAAGCCAGCAGGTGAGAATATTTCGGTGGCAGTTTTATTTCAGCGGGTGAGGATATTTCGGTGGCAGTTTCAAGCCAGCGGGTGAGGACATTCCGCTGGCAGTTTAACCCAGCGGGTGAGGATTTTTCGGTGGCGGCTTTAAGAAAGCGGGTGAGGATATTTCGGTGGCAGTTTTATTTCCGCGGGTGAGGATATTTCGGTGGCAGTTTTAAGCCAGCAGGTTAGGAAATTTCGGTCTCAGTTTTAAGCCAGTGGGTGAGGATATTTCGGTGGCAGTTTTAAGCCGGCGGTTGAGGATATTTCGGTGGCAGTTTATTTCAGCGGGTGAGGATATTTCGGTCGCAGTTTTATTCCGGCGGGTGAGGATATTTCGGTGGCAGTTCTAAGCCAGCGGGTGAGGATATTCCTGTGGCTGCTTTGATCCAATGGGTGAGGATATTTCGGTGGCAGTTTTAAGCCCGCGGGTGAGGATATTTCGGTGGTAGTTTTAAGCCAGCGGGTGAGGATATTTCGATGGCAGTTTTAAGCCCGCGGAGGAGGAGGAGAAGGAGGAGGGAGGAACCGAGAATATCTGTGCTCGGCGCGGGCATCCAGCCGCCACGCGATGCGTCATTCGCTTGGTTGGCCCAGCCGACGGCTACGCATCCAGCGCGGTGCTGCGCCCGTATATATATATATATATATATATATATATATATGCTCGCCCCTTTGCGTGGGGCTGGCGGGGGGCCAATGGGGCGAGCTGTCTGGTGTTTTTTTTGTTTGTGTTTTTTGTTTTTTGGGTTTTTCTCTTTTGTGTGTGTGTGTTGTGTGTGTGTGGTGTGTGTGTGTGTGTGTGTGTGTGTGCGTGCGTGCGTGCGTGCGTGCGTGCGTGCGTGCGTGCGTGTGTGTGTGTGTGTGTGTGTGTGTGTGTGTGTGTGTTTGTTTAGTACTAGTCATAAGCAACAAGCATGTTTAGGGGGGCTATCTTTAATTTTTCGTCCACAATCCGCCTGTAGGGGGACACGCCCGACCTAAACCCAGACCCCCGACGCCGTTCGGGCCAAACTAAGCATGCGCACTTTAAGTCGGCGGCGCAAGGGAGCCTCAGGCGCGGTCGGCAGGTGGAGGTGCCGATTGCGAACGAGCTCAGCCGACCGCGCCATGATGGGATGATCCAGCCACGGCCATGCAGATTGGTGGTGGAAGGAGTGAGGGGCTGGAAAGCCAGGACGCAGCGGCAAACGAACCCGCGGAGCGAGAGCGAAAGCTCAACGCAAGAAGTTGAGAACTAGGAAACACAAGCGAAAGCGAAGCGAAAGCGAAAGCTCAACGCAACGAAAGCTCAACGAAAGCTCAACACACACCTCCGATCCTGCCCAGGCCCATCCCGTGCCCAGGATCGGTGCAGATGCCTCCCTGGTCAGGCCAGGAGGGCGCGTGCACCGATCCAGGGCCCAGGATGGTCCTGGCCAGGATCGGTGTATGTGCATACTTCTATTGGGCTGGCCTCCGGCCAGTGCCGCCGATCCGGGGGGGTGAGAGCGAGCCGTCTTGGACACTGTGAAGGCCCAAGAAACGAATATGCCGAAAATATACGTTTTCCCGAGGGAATGGGTCTATTTGTCTGTCTTTGGGCATTCTTGGGAAGTGTCGTGAGGGATCCTGGGGACGTCTTGGAGGTTTCTGGAACTGTCTTCGGGGCATCCTGGGCGGTTCGAGCGATGTTTCGGCGATTCGGGGCCCTCTTGCATTGTCTAGGGGGCCTCTGGGGCCCCTTGTCTTCCTCTTGGGCTGTCTTGGGCGGTCGGGGCTCTGGAAGTGGAGTTTTCTATACCCCCTGTCCCCGGGTACCGAAAAACGTCGAAAATGACGTCGGAAGTATGCCCGTGTACCGAAAAACGTCGGAAATGACGTCGGAAATAACGTGCCCCCCCCCCCCCCCCTGCAGAGCGAAGCTTGAGCGAGCTCAAGTCCACGCTCTCAGAAACTCACACGCCAGATCGGCGGATTTCTTTTCGTCATGCTTCTTCTAGGACATGGACACTCATAGATCTAGACCCATTTCGTCGACTATACGGGGTATAGTTACGCCAGGGTGTGGTTTGCGGTCAGTACTGTTGGGGCCTGGGGAGCATGACGCTGTCCTTGTCGGGCCTCCTCGGGGCGCGGCGGAGAGCTCCGTCGAGATCCTCGCCCGCCACTCAGGGTGCCCCTGGGGTGCCAGTTGCAAACCACACCGTCTGCAAACCACACCCTTCGGAGTCGCCGACCCTTCCCCAGGACCGGCTCTTCACCGGGTTGTTTTCTGACGGCCCTGTGGCTTGCCGAGGGCCCCCCAGAGGCCGGAGGGGCCCATCAATCTTGCCGCCGCCGCTGCCGTCGCCTTAAGTCGGGCCTGTCCCTCTACAAGGGGAATATTCAAAAATAGTCAGAAAATAGTCTGGGGACTATTTTTTGAGTATTTTTGACTAGTCAATTTTCATCGAAAATTCCCTGTAGGGGGACACGCCCGACTTTACGCTGCCGTCGCTGGCCACTGTGATTACTCCTCGATGTCTGTCGGGAGGCCGAAAACGGCCAAATCCCGTCAGTCGTGCTTTTTTCACGGCGCGAGGGGGCTTGGCTTTCGGGCCCCATTTCGGGCCTCTGGCGGCCGATCGGGGCGGTCAGGGCATCCTGGGAGAACAGCCTCGACCAGGCGCAGCTGCTGGAACGCAACCCGGGGCGAGAGAACCTAGAAGAGCCAACGAACATTTCCAAAACATCGAAAACGGGAGTCTTTCGGAGGCTTGGAGGTTCGCAACAACATCGATATCCGCGGTGTGTCCCCGACGACGGAAGATGACCCGGTATCGGCGATGGTGTGAATGTTCAGGCGTCCTAGCTAGCCTAGATGCTGCCACCAGCACCAGCACATGGGATCCTCGTCCCCTAGTGGATGCAGCCCCCTGTGATGGTGTTGGTGCCAATTTCTAAGCCTCCAAGCCTGGGGAGGATTACCAGCCTGGAACACATCCCTACCCCTATGAGTGGCGTCGCCTCGTCCCGATGCCGATGCGATCCCCTCCATTCCCTCCGCTTCTGAGGGTGCATCTCTGAGATTGTCGTCGCCTTTTGGGCTTGTTAATCTTGGTGATAGGGATACGTTCGAGGCTGGTTAGTTCGATGCTCGTTTCGGGGACCTTCCTGGAGCCCACCCAACGGATCTGTGCGACTCAGGTTCGACTCAAGCTCGCTTCAGGTTCGACGCAGGTTCGACGCAGCTTCGACGCAGGTTCGACGCAGGTTCGACGCAGCTTCGACGCAGCTTCGACGCACGAGTGGAGCGAGTGGCTCCAGGAAGGTCCCCAGAAGGAGCATGCCTGAGACTGTCGTCGCCTTTTGGGCTTGTTAATCTTGGTGACAGGGATACAGTCGGGTCCCCGAAGAAGGAACCCTTTTCGTTGGGGAGGGGCTCCGCGTTCCTTACGTGTTTCGCAGCTTGCCTCAGGTTTTCCTTATGTTTTCGATCGGAAATCGAAGTTTAACTCATGGAAAAAAGGGGCCTCGTTCCTTATTTTGGGTTCCTTAGGTCAAGCCCACGACTGTACGTTCGAGGCTTGTCAGGGGAGGGCCGGCCTCCGCGGTGGCTCCCTCGAGGCGCTTCGCTCCGCGTCCGGCGCCGCCGAGGCCGCGGCCGCCGCGCTGCGGGAGCAGCGGGGGGCGCTGCGCGCCGAGGAGCGCGAGCTGCTCGGGTCCCTCGGGCGCGGCGGCGAGGAGGTGGAGCGGCAGCAGGAGACGCGGGCCCTGCTCAAACGACGCGAAGATCGGGACAAAATCGGATCGGGATAACTCGAAATCTCTGAGAATCGGCGGGTTTGGAGGATGTATTGGGCGCCGCGGCCGCTTC